GACCGGTCTCTATATGGGATCCGAACCCTCGGCGGGAGCGCCACCGCACTCCCAAGCGCCGCACTCTACCGAGTGCGCCACCAGGCCAGCCCTACCAGTCATCTTTTAAAAAAAAAAATTCACTTATTTTAAGTGTACGATTCATTAATTTTTAGTATATTTACAGAGTTGTGCAACCGTCACCATCATCTAATTTTAGAATTTTCCCATCACCAAGAAAAGAAACCTCATACCCATTTATAGTCACACCTCATTCCTAACCCCAACCCCAGGTAACCACTAATCTACTTTCTGTAGATTTACTAGTACTGGACATTTCATATAAATGGAATCATATAATGCATGGTCTTTTGTGACTGGCTTCTTTCACTTGGCATAATGTTTTCAAGGGTCATAAATGTTGTGGCATGTGTCAGTACATTGATCTTTTTATTAATGAATAGAATTCCATTATATTGATATACCACTTTTGTATATCCATTCATCAGTTGGTGGACATTTGGATGATTCACTTTTTGCCTGTTATGCATAATGCTTCTGTGAACATTTGCATACAAGTCTGTGTGTGGACAAATGCTGTCCTTTCTTCTGGGTAGTATCCAAGAGTGGCACTGCAAGGTCATATGGTAATTCTTCCAAAGTTCTTATTCCCTCATAAGCACCTCACTATCTTTTTGACTTTATTAAGAATTCTAGTACCTCAAGTCCACAGCTTTCTCTGTTGGTCCTCTCCTGAACCTACTTTCTTCCCATCAAATGTGGTTAACATTTGACCAACTCTCATGAATAACTGGAAGAGTAGTCAAGGAAAGGGATAAGTATTTAGTGTCTACTATTTGCCAAGTCCCTGCCAATGAGAATTTCTTATTCTAACTATACAAATTAAAAAGAACTGTTAGGGGCCGGCCCGTGGCTCACTTGGGCGAGTGCAGTGCGCGGGTTTGGATCCTATATAGGGATGGCTGGTTCACTCACTGGTTGATGCTGACAACACCAAGGCCACGGGTTCGGATCCCTATATAGGGGTGGCCAGTTAGCTCACTTGGGAGAGCATGGTGCTGACAACACCAGGTCAAGGGTTAAGATCCCCTTACCGGTCATCTTTAAAAAAAAAAAGACAAAATGGTATTGAGCAGCACTTTTGCTCTTTTTTTTTTTTTTTTCCTTTTTGTCTTTTTTTGTGACCGGTAACAGGATCGCAACCCTCGGTGTCGCGCCTGCACCGCGTTCAACCAGCGAGCGGACCGGTCTCTATATGGGAT